AAAGAAGCGGCAGACGAAAGGGGGGGGGGGAGGCTGCGAGGATCCCTCGACTTCCAGTTCCAGCGCGGACGCTTGTCAGATGGAGTGAAGCGAGTCCGGGCTCGAACAGTGCTGGAGCGCTGGAGCGGGCTATAGCGGGGCGGCGGGACCATTGTAGGCCTCGGGCTTTCTCTACTCTCGGCCTTATTTCATCACAGAAACTTATCACATTAGGAACCCCTTTGAAATAAATGCAGAGCCGCGTGCCAGGAGCAGGCGCGGCCTGTCCCGACCAGGCAAGGCGGGCAAGGTGGCTCTCGGCGGCCACGCGGGGGCGCTGGGCTGGTCGACGAGATGGAGCGCCTCGGTCAGCGTGGCGGCGTGCATCGCCATGCGCGGCATGCGCGGCGCGCGGCGCGGGGACGTCTAAGCGGCCGCTCGGCGCCCCGAGGGGGGCATTTGTCAAAACAACAACATGGCTGCCGGGAATCCTCCATCCTGCTTTGCGTCCCGGGGCACTCACTCCGAGGAGCGGCGGCCGTTTCTCAGAGACTGGCCCTGGCGCGCAACGCACCCCGCGGCCTAAGATGCCGCCCCCGCCGCCCCCGGCCCGCTTGACGGCCCGCCTCCACGCGCCACGGCTGCTTCAACCGGCGGGGAGCTAACTGCCGTGATGAAAATTTGCCGGCCAGATTGCACGCAATTAATTGATGAATTATCGCCTCCCCGAGGTGCTGGCGTGGCGGTGCTGCCGTGGCGGTGCGCCCTGCGCCCCCGTCGAGCGCGGCCGCGCGGTGGAAACCGAAACCGAGTCGCCGGGTTTGTTTCTGGCGCGCTGGCGGCGCTGGCATCCGAGCGCGCCGTCCCGGAAACATTCCGGCGCTGTGGCGCTGTCGCCCTGCCATCCCGGCCATCCGCCGCGTGCCTGGAGGCGTGCCTGAAGGCCTGGAGCGCCAGCTCCACATTCGCCGCAACGGTATTGCGCGACGCGACGCGCCACCCGAAGGCCAGAGGGCCGCGGGCGTTGTTTTTGCCATGCCAGGGGGCGCTGGGGTGCTTTCCGCGCGCCCGTTCCCGGAACAGCATCAACGCCATGGTACGCGGTACGCGGCCGTACCGTACCGTCCGGCTGGGAAGCAGAGGCAAGCCGAGCTTCCTGCACAAGCAGGCACTCCGGGCGACTTTACCAGCCAGTGGAGCCGCCAGCCTGCAGTCTGCACGCGTTGGCGCGGAGAGAACCTCGGAAAGAACCCTGCCCTCTTCCTTTCAACGCTGCAAGCACTTCGGCTTTGGCGCGGCGCCCCTCAGTGCTACATCGGTACATTTCGACTGGCTCTCTAAAAGCCCTGCTTCCGTCGGCCTCGCTGGCCTCGCCGGCCTCGGTGGCCTCCTTCCCCGGCATGCTTCGGAGTGAGAGGTCCGGACCGCGGCCTTGGTGCAAGTTTCGGAGTGCCGAGTACCGATACCGCCACACGCCAAGCCACCGTGGCTCGCGGTGGAGCCTCGCCCCGCCTCGCCCCGCCTCGCCCCGCCTCGCCCCGCCTCGCCCCGCCTCGCCCCGCCCCGCTCGGCCGCAACGCCGTGGCGACCCGTGATCAAACTCCTGCATAATGGAAGTTCGGCACGCGTGAGAGCCACCGCGCCACCACGCCACCGCAGCGAGAACAAGTGGGCCACAACCACAAAATACCTCAGCCGGGCGCGACTATCAGAGCAAGGTCAAGCGAGCACGCAGTGGACGCAATGCAGGGAGGGTGGCTAAGGTGGGCAGGACCCGAGCAAAGTCCTGGAAGGACGGTCGCTACACCGGTAATGCCAAATGAGGGCCTGTCCACGCCAGCTGCTTTGGTCGATGGCTCCGCACCCATTGCCTCGTCAACATCCAAACTCGCGGTACATAAACTTTAAAACGCTCGGCTAAAAAAAAAACACCACACCTCCCGGACGAATACTAAATGGATACCGTTGGCGAGTTGTCAGTGTGTTTCCCCGTTTGTTTCTTGTTTTCCGAGTGTAAAAGTTGCGGCCGTTGGACGGCACGGCACGGCACGGCCGCGTGGGGGGGTACTTACGCGGCGCTACGCGTTTGTGCATGCCCGCTCCCCCAAGCCAGCTAGTCCCCGAGCCCCGTCCCTCGAGCCCGCCGCGCACCGCCTCGCCTCGCCCCGCCCCGCCCCGCCCCGCCCCGCCCCGCCCCGCCCCGCCCCGCCCGCTACGCGCCGTTCCGCGGCCAGTCCATGCACGACACGCCACAACACAAAAAGTTGCGCCAACAACTTCCAACAATTAAGAGGGATGAAAACACGGCCAGCCCGGCCCAATTTTTGTACCGCATCTCCTGGGGCCGAGCAAGCACCAAGTACAGTGTGGTGGCGAGCCGCGTCCGGTCGTCGGGCCGCCTGGCCGTCGTCGACGTGCTCGCCGGCGGCAGCGCGGAGGGTCACGCACGCTCGGCGGCACGGCCCGCGGCCTGCTCTCCGCGGCGCAATGAGGCACGCCCCGCCCCGCCCCGCCCCGCCCCGCCCCGCCCCGCCCCCCGACGACGTGCCAAACGCCACGAACAACGGCCAGATTGTCGAGCCGCCGTCTCGGCCAACTTGGCCGCGCGTCTGCAGGTGCGGAGGCCAAGTCGAAGGACCCGTTTTCCAGGAAGAAAGGAGAAAACTTCTCGGCAGCCCCGGCGAGCAACGAGAATGAATATTAAGTGGAGGAGGGTTTGGGGCGCTGGACCTTTGCACGCAGGGGGCGGGGGGAGGGGGGGGGACTCTATCTCCATGCAAACTAGGACAACGGCCTGTCGATGCCAGACTGACTATTAGCGAGAATGGAGGTAAAAAATTTAATTTCCAGGCATGAACAGCCAAGGGCCGGGCCCACCCCAAGCAGCGCCTGGAGCAGAGCAGTGGACGGTAGTCACGCCGCGCACCCGGAGAACTTAACGCCCCGCGCGGGGCACAGGCTGGGGCACTGCCGGGCACCGCGATGCGCAAACTATCAGACACATTGTGGGCGCGTGACCAGCATGCCGCAGCGTCCTTTTGCATCCCATGACTCATTAGCTGGGACGAAGGGAAGGGCCCTTCCCGCCGTGGTCGTGGGCAGGCGCGGGCACAACGCCGCCGCCCGATCTGTGTGGGAACGCGGCGGTGTACCGCGCAAGCCGGCGGAAGCGGGATGCCGCAGTTGTGTCCAAATAAAGCGGATTCCTGTTTCCGCTATTGTTCGTTTGTTTCTGTGCAGAAGCTGGCAGTCGCGCCCCGGAGGCCCCGGAGCACCCCGAGCCCAGTGGAGCACCCTACCCCACGCGGGGGCGCGCCGCCCAAGGCAAGGCGAGGCGAGGCGGGTTCAGAGGTGAGCCGGGCATAAATTTCTCAGATGTGACAACGGCGAGGGGAGGGGGACGGGAAAGCCGAGGAAAAGGAGCGCGTTTCATTCCTCTTCTTTCTTCGGACAAAGATGCGATATTCCAGCCGGTAATCTGAGGGGCTTTCTGTCACTGTCCGCGATGTAACAAAAGATTTTCTCCGCCACTCTCCCGGCGAGACGCGCCTCTCCCGGCCTGGGAGAGGGAACCAGAGGGAACCAGAGGGCGCACTCTCCTCCGCATCGACCGGCCGGTCGGGCCGACACGCCGACACGTATGCGGACTGCGTCGACTGCAGCAACTCGCAGGGAACGGCTCCGGAATGGCTGCGCCTTGGCCGCGCCGGACTGCCGCCCGTCAAATCCAATTTGAATTGAACGTTGCGCGAGGCTACGCGAGGCTGCGCGAGGCGGCCGGCCGAGTCGCCCGCCGTTGCCGCCTTCGTCTTCCTCCCTCCGTCTTTTCGCAACAAACAAATCCAGCCGGCTTTCGGGCCCGGCTCGGCTCGGCCACCACGTACCTCGCGGTGCCGGCGGAGCTGGTGGAGCCTTCCACCCTCGCTCTCCGCCCTCCGCCCCCAACGAGGCCCTTGCCGCGAGCCCTCAGAGCCTCCCAGAGCCTCGCCAGAGCCTCGCGACGAGCCCAAGGCAAGAAATGGGAGGAGGGGGCGGGGCGGGGCGACTCAAATGCCACCACTACACTGGAGAAAAATCGATATGTAGGCAAACCGGCGAACTACCGGCGCGGAAAGGTGGGGGAGGGCGGAGTGGTGCGGGGCGGGGCGGCCCGAAAAGGGTGGGCCGATGTCTGTGTCGTCTGTCTAGGGGTGAGACGCTAGACTCGAGTGAGGCAGCCAGGCGCAGCCAGGCGGGATAGGGATCTGCGGTGTATAGTCGCTCTCTCTCTCTCCGGCCTGCTTCATATGACACCTGCAGTGCATTGATGCGTATGCACACGAGATACGCCATGGCGCCGGGCGGTGGGGAGCTTTGTGGGGTACCTGCAGTGGCTTCCCTGCGCCGCGCGCCGCCCCGGCCTGCCGAGTCCCTCCGCACGCGTCCAGCACGCTGGGCCGCGCTGGGCCGCGCTGGGCCGGGCGGCCTTCCCACCAAGCCCCACCCCACCCCACGCCAGGGGCGGCAGGGCGGCGGGGCGGCGGGGCGGCAGGGCGGCAGGGCGGCAGGGCGGCCACCCCCCGCTGGTATCTGGTTATCTTTCGCGGCACGACAGGGCCAGCAAGGCCAGCAAGGCCAGCAGGGCCGGCCGGGGGCCTTGCCCTGCCTTGCCCCCTGAGCCCCAATAAGAGTCCAACAATCAGCGGGATTAACACGGCGAGGCCGGGATTAGAGCTGATTAGAGCGCTGCTTCGGCCCTTCGGTTGCTTCGGCTCGGCCCTGCTCGGCCTGTGTCGTCGCCAGCCCCGGCCCGGAGCGCCACGCGGGGAATACAAACGGAGAGGAAAAATTGGGACGCAACGACCCCGACGAAAATGGCATCAAGACGCGACGCGCGGGGCCCCTCCGGTGGCGCCTGGCCGAGCCTGGCCGAGCCTGGGCCCGCTTCGAATCAAGCCTGGCTTCCCAGGGCGATGCCGAGGCGATGCCGGGGCGATGCTCGGCAGTGCGGCAGAATGAACAACGCGCTGTCTGTCCCTTACCTGTCAGCAGCCGAGACGTCGGCCTGGACCTGCGGCCTGCGGCCAGCGGGCCCTGGGGACGATGCGACGCGACGCGACGCGACGCCACCGAGCGACGCTCGCGCTCACCGACCGAAGGGAGTCTGGAGAAGACAAGTCACTGGATCAGAGCGGCATACAAAGCACTCCAAAAAGAGACCGCCGATTTGCAACTTTCTTCCATGTCAAGGCACTCCAAAAAGAGACCACCAATTTGCAACTTTCTTCCGTGTCAATTGGCACTAGTATAGATCAATGGCCAACTCATGTGCTCTGCATGGCACGGTTACAATGTTCAGCGCACTTGAGCCAGATTACGTACCACTGAAGTCATGACAAGCCAAGAGCTGGAGCTGACACCATTCAACATTTAAGTATATTTTACATACAATACAAAGAAGATTTTTCAGCATCGTATAATTACTCTGCAAAACTATTTGAAAAAATGGAAACTAGGGAAGTGAGCGTTAGGAATGTTGAATCAAGCTCGATCTGACCAACTTGAATTTACCAAGACTTGTAAAGGAGGCAAGATTCAGGAATATACTAGTGATATATGAGCATTGAGATCTTTGAGGGTAATGAACATACAAGCAACAAAAACATGCAAAATTGGCAATTGAAGTCAGAAATAGAACAAGCACTAAAGAGGTAAACAATTATAAAATTTCAAGTGCTTAAAAAAAAAAAGAAGAAAAAACCTTTACACAATTTTATGATTTAATTTTCCAACAGATAACAAAAAAAAACATGTAGCCCTGAGTATGTGTAAATGTTTATGATATTCACACCCTCTACAGCTGGTATAATCAAGAATTGATGGGGCTGTCAAAATGTCAAAGATTTTGGAATGATTTCAGCGTTGGTAAATTTTGATACCTTCTTAGCTTGAGGTCAGTGGTTTCCAAATAATTCGTCACTTCATAGATTTAAAAATAGGGCGAACACTAAATAGACAACACAAAAAGACTACACAAAAAAGAAAAAAGAAAATGGAAGTTGCACATAACCTCAAACTTTTGGCTAAATTAGCCGAGAATCAATGGAATTTCAAGACCACAGCAAGTAGCATAGATAGAAAGCAACAAAGGGCACATCAAGGGCACAAAAACTGATTTCCTTGTCAAAGAATTGTCGCAACTTCACACTTCTCCCTTTGATGCGTTTATCGTCAACGACAATACTCCGCGGCGTAACTGAAGCACTGCACTCCCCCGCTCACGACGGTCGCAACCGACACTTCACACATTTTTAACCAACTCTTACCTTAAAGGCGCGACGGTTTCATTCACATCACACGTGATAATATCCCTTAAAACGTCATATCCAACACGAGCACTGCATCGCACGTTACGACTTCACAGCAGGTAAACAAATTGGACTCCCGTCGGTGTCAAGCGAGAGATACTAGCGCTTTGGCACGCACGTGGGAAACTCAGTAAACTACAGAATGGAAACAGGCTGTCGTCGCCAAAATGTCCCCAACCACAGCTGTTTTGATTCACACTCCAACGCGCGAACGGCAAGCTGGCACTCGCACCCAGCGAGCAGTTTGTTCCTTCTAGAGCACGTTCCCCGTGGTTTTTGGCATTTTTCCAAATAGAGCCTGGTTCTTTCCCATCTCCGAGGCGTCGACTGCTGCCGCATTCCAGCGCGACGGTTGGCAGTGACGCGCGGGCAGCGCCACTGGCGGCAGCGATGCCCACCGCGCCCAGGGCTTGCCCCGGCCTCGGCGGCTCCGTCGGTGTGCGGCGCGCGCGACGCGGGGTAGCGCCGCGGCAGCGCGGCACTACTCACCGCCTCAAAGCGGCATTACTCCAGCGGGGTTGCTTCGCATTAATTGATGTGGATGCAGTGGGGGTGGCGGCGAAGGGAATCCTGGCGAGGAGGGGAGGGGGGAGTCCCACAGTGATTTACAAAATGAACTGTTGTGACATCTCAATAACTATATCAAAGCGTGCCACATGGCTCGAAAAGTACTAAAATTGCTGTTTCCCCGTCAGCAAACAACAAATTTTGAAATCAGAAGAAAAACCTTAAAGTTCGTTTTAAATAAGCGACTCTCTAAAGAAATGTGCTGTGCCGTTGCCTGCAAGTAACCGGACGGCCGTGAGAGGCTTGAGAGGCCGTAGGCAAGACTGCGGCGGAGAGGCGGAGGAAGGAGGGCGGAGGGGTGGGCCTGGGAGACAGGAGAAGTGGCGCGGGAGCAAAGGTCAGACAAGGGCTGCAGCCCGGAGGGCCGGAGGCTGGGCTGGAGGCTGGAGTGGGGGGTGTCGGCAGAGGCGTCGGCAGAGGCGTCGGCACCGTCGGCACACGGCGCGGAGGGCGACAATCGATCAGGGGAAAGAGACAGGCCCGGGCCCCTCGGCCTGCCTCAGCCCCACACACAGGGCCGTGCCCGCCGTGCCGGGCTAAGGCTGGCTGCACGGCCGCCCGGCACGGAGAGCGGCGAGCCCGGTGGCGATGAGGGACCCTCACCCACACCCTCGGCCAGCCCTCCTGGAGCCCTCCCAGCCCGGCGAGGGTGAGGGCGAGGGGCGAGGCGAGGCAGCCAGTCTGGGGCCAGCCGCCACCCCGCGATGTGGACCGACGCCCTGGTGCTGCTGCCGCTTCTGCTCGGCGGCGCGTGGGCGGCGGATGGCGACGCCCCGGCAGCGAGCGCAGCGAGTGCCACCGCGGCGACGGACACGGACGCCGGCGAGGACAACTTTTACGTGCCGGCGTCGCCGCCACTGTGCCCCACGAGCAGCTCGCACTTCTCCTGCGACGCGGGCCGCTGCCTGCGCTACGAGGACGCCCAGGGCCCGGGCGGCGAGTGCAGCAGGCACTGCGTGAAGCCGGCGCCCACCTGCCTGCACCGCAAGTTCGTGTGCGACGGCGTGCAGGACTGCGAGGACGGCGCCGACGAGGCCGACTGCGTGCAGTGCAGCCTAGACGCCTTCCCCTGCGACGGCCTGTGCCACCGGAGGGAGCTCATCTGCGACAAGGCCTACAGGTATTCCAGTCCGCCGCGCCGGCCGGCACAGCCAGGCACAGCCATCCCGTCACGAGCCCACCCCCTGACCGAACCCGGCGCTGCAGCGGCTGCAGCCTCGCTCCCCTTCGCCCCCTTCCAAATGCAATTACCGCCACTCTCAGAGATTCAATCACTTTTAGACCCACTTTGTGAGACTGGTGCTCCCAACCTAGTTGCGGTCATTATGCAATCTCTCACTGGGGCGTGCCATGTTCTTCCCCGCCCCCAGCCACTGCCGCCCCGCCGGCACGGTCTGCTCGGCGGCGCCGTCGCCCTGCCCGGAGCGCAGCCAGGGCATCGCCAACGTGACCTGCGACGGCGTGCCCGACTGCGCGGGCGGAAGGGACGAGCGCTCCTGCACCGCGCCGCACCACTGCCGGGCCGGCGCCTTCTTCTGCGACGGCCGCTGCATCCGGGCGTCGCGGCGCTGCGACGGCGTGCGGCACTGCGAGGACGGCGCGGACGAGGCCGACTGCCCCGCCATCCTGCACGCCATCGCCGTCGTCTTCAAGTAGGTCTGCGGTAGTCTGCGGCGGCCGGAGTGGCCAACGACATTCGAACGGAGTTTACTTGGTCGCCGTCTCTCTCGAAACCATGGAGTTGCGAGAGCGACACAGCACTGTTCGAAATCAGCCAGCAGGGAAGTCCCACCGACTCGATGCCTTTCATGTTGCAGGCGCCGCGGGAAGGTGGTGTCGAAGCGCGAGTGCTTCGAGTGCGGCAACGGGCGGTGCGTGCCGACGACCGTCAAGTGCGACGGCGTGGACGACTGCGGCAACGGCCGCGACGAGAAGCGCTGCTTCACGCCCGTGTGCGCCGCCGGCGGGGGCAGGAACTGCGTGGCCACCAAGTGCACCGAGCAGGCAAGGCCAGGGCCGAGGGCCGAGGATCTACTCGCAAGGGAGATCGGTAACTGCCCGATGTTCGCCCCGAGTACAACAAATTTCGACCTAAATTTTCCGAAAGGTGCCTAGGCACGGCCTCCGCTTCATTTGGCAAGTGGGAGATGAATGAGGCGCCAGAGCGCTTTCAATCGGCATGTCCTGGTTCGAAACCAGATGCCTAGCGTCGGGAAGGTCGCCTATCTCAGGCAGCTCTTTGGCACGCTGAGAGAGCAAGACCCTTACACCGCCAACACTACCGAAACAAGCTTAGCCTTTGGGGCCGTCCTGTCAACTTGGCGGTGTGTCCTGTTTGCAGGGCATCCCCTGCAGCTCCGGCTACAAGTGCGGCCGCCTTAAGTGGGCGTGCGACGGCCACCCCCACTGCGACGCCGGCAGCGACGAGCCCTCCGACTGCCGGGGGCCGCCCCGCGTGTACTTCTGCCGGCACGCGCCGGCCGAGGCCGCCGCCATGCCCGCCGCGACTTGGTGCGACGGCAAGGCTGACTGCCCCGGCGGCGAGGACGAGGAGGACTGTCCGACCGAGCCGCCCCTGGCCAAGGTGTACTGCGCGGACAACCGGACCAGCCACGCCGCCTTCGAGGTGAGCCATCGCACCCAGGCCCTTCCCCTGCGCCTGCTCGTCCACCTTGACAGCACCGTTGTGTCCACAGGGGGGCCGGGCCGTGCAGTGCGCGCCGCCGCCGCGCCTGATCCACTGCCACGACGGCACGCCCCGGATGGAGACGACGCGCTGCGACGGCGTGGCGGACTGCCCCAGCGGCGAGGACGAGGACGGCTGCGGCCAGTGCTACGACGGCGCGGTGCTGTGCGACGCCCGCTGCGTCATGGCGTCGCGGCGCTGCGACGGCGTCTTCGACTGCAGCGACGGCGCCGACGAGCGCGGCTGCCACGACGACCTGGTGCTGGGCTCGGCCTTCTTCCACCCCCGCGTGTGCGGCCCTGGCTACTTCGACTGCGGCACCCGGTAAGCGCCACTTCCCTGCTCGTCTCCTTCCCTCGCCTCCCGCACTCAGGGTCCCCGTCGTTGCCCTGCCCCCAGGTGCGTGGCCGAGAAGCACGTGTGCGACGGCGTGCGTGACTGCGAGAGCCTCGCGGACGAGACCAACTGCAACGCGTGCCGCGGGGACTCGGTGCCGTGCGGCGGTCGCTGCGTGCGTGCCGTGACGGCCTGCCCGTCCGAGACGCCGTGCGGCGCCAACGCCTCCGCCTCGGGGATGTGCGACGGCGTGCAGGACTGCGCCGACGGCCACGACGAGGCCGTGTCCCCGTGCGCCAAGAGCTGCGCCGGGCTGCTCTGCGACGGCGTGTGCCGTCCTCTGTCCAGCGTGTGTGACGGCGTCCGCGACTGTGGCGACGGCCGCGACGAGGCGGACTGTCCGGAAGGCGTGACCAATTCGACGACCAGGGAGACCTGGCGACGCGTCAACCACCGCGTCGAGTTCACCTGGATCTACAGCAGCGTGTTCACCGTGCGCGGCGTCACCACCAATGTCACCACCGTCATCAACGAGACGGTGGCCGTCACCACCACCAACATCAGCCCGCCGCCCCCGGGCCCCGCGCCGCTCCCCTGCCCCACCACCACCACCCCCGAGCCCACCACCACCCCCGAGCTGGCCCCCACCCCCGCGCCGCCCCTGCGGGGGCAGCGCCCCGGCCGCAAGAGGGGCGCGCAGGGCCGGCGGCGGCAGCAGCAGCGGGCGCGGAACGCCGCGCGGAGGCAGCGCAAGCAGGGCGGCGAGGAGGAGCAGCAGCAGCGGCAGCAGCAGCGGCGGCGAAGACAGAGGCAGCGGAAGCAGGACGCCGCGAGGGCTGCAGGGGTGGCGGACAGGGACGTCTGAGCGAGCGGGCTGCAGCCACCGACCACTACTCTTATCTCACCCCCTGGGGAAGACCAAGCCTTTCAAGAGCCCCTCTTGAAGCCCACTGCCAAGTAAATTAGACTGAATCTTTCCACTACATGAACACATAATGTGCACAAAGCTGTTTTAGAAAAAAAAAGGCGTTACACAGTAAATACTAATAAAACTTGATAAATCCTAGTTTTCTGATATTTTTTGCTACCAATGGTTATTTCAGCACGCTGCTATCTCATGTCAGCTCAAAATATTTGGCATCATTTGGCATATGACAAGATTTTATTTTGTACATAGGTTCAAAGAAAATGTGCACCACTCATAAAAACAGAAAACAATTTATTTGGCAACAAAAAATGGATATAGCCTCTAGACAAGCCACCACACAACCAATATCAACTTAAGAATCCTTAAAGTATACAAGTCCTCACTTTGAAACTAACTTTTTATGTAGACATACAATCTCTTGGTTTTATATATTAATAAGAGTACAAAAATATAAAAGAGATGAACACAGTTGCTAAAAAAGCAGTTTGAAAGTATTGGTCATTCAATATATATATACAGTACACAGATTACAAAACATATTATTGTAATGTAGTGCTGCATGCAGAACAATCCCAGTTGTACATGCTGGAGAGACTTTATCTGTACTGTATCAGAGATTATTTCTCAACTTTTCCTTTCCAGCATACATATTATCCCAAAACAACATCCTTCTTTCAGCAATGGCCCCTTTAATATTCTGAATAGTTGGTCCAATCTCAAGATAAGTTGCTTGTCTTTGACTCGCTGGAAGCCATGCAACATCCAGTGATGAGTCAGTTCTTGGTGTTGGATGCCTGCAAGTCAAAAAAATTAGAAAATGAGGAAATAATTATGGGATGGGGCAAAAATACAAGAAAAAAAGGTTAATGTGAGACTTGACAAAGCATAAATGCTTTTCTAACAGTTATTGAATTAAGTAAAAGCGCCTTACTTACCCAAATTTTACAAAGTTTGTCCACATCTTCACAAACTTCTCCCTCATTTTCAAATCTTTGATTGGTACATTATCACTTGACGGCAATAGATCCATTTTAAATAAGTATCCCAACTCATCAGCGTGGCAAGCACCTCTTACGTGATCTACAGCCAAAACGTTTCTAAAAACATTTAATGCACCTTCATAGCTAAACTCATACAAATATGGTGCAGAGAACTTGCAATGATACTTCATGGCACAGTAGAAACCATGTACAAACATCAAATCCCCAGTCAGCTGAAAATAGAGAGACTTTATAGGTTCAAGGTTCATTATTTACCAGACTATTTTTTTTTTAAATAATATGAAACAGACATACATTAAAATAATCAACCAAATTTTCCTCTGTTAAAGGCTTGTTTTTCATGTACTGCCAGCGGATTAATTCTGCCACTTTTGATTCTTCAGGTGATCCTCGAGCTAATGACAAATCTGCAGGGACAAGTTTAGGGATTCTGCTATCAAATTTCTTCAGCATTTCATTTCTTTCCTTTCCCATTATAGCTAGAACAATAGAGGTACGTATTATTATTATTATTTTTAATTTCAGAAAAATAAACACAAAGAGAAGAAATATTATTCCTGCTTAGTTTAATATAAGTTAATGATTGTGATTATTACCTGCCAGAAGAAGTATTGCTTCTCTGTTGTTGACTCCTGCTAAGAAGGGGCCCCGAAAAAATCTACCTTCCTGCAGTATTTTAACTGGATTTTCACATAAAAATGGCTCTACAGAACCGTCTGTTATTTCAACTGATGGGACAAATGGAAATGGTTTCACCACACAAGAGTATTCTTTCTCCTAAAATTAAGAGCTTTGAATTATTAAAATAAAAATAATAAGTGCAGACAGGAAATGGAATCAAAATTTGAATGTACCTCTTTTGAGAATGAATTTTTTGCAGCCGCCTCTGTAAGACGATCTGCAGGAATTGTTTTCAGGTATTTAACTAGGTCTTTAGCATTGTTACCCTTGAAGCCCAAGCTCTCTCCAAGGTGGAATGCTCTTTCACGCCCTTGGTTAGTGAATGCCCATGGGTTGAGAGCAACACCACTCTCACATATGGCAGAAGAAAACAAACCTAAAATCATACAATAAAGAGGAATGGATGAATTTGCATTTAAAATTAATAGCATAGCAATATTAAAATTGGACTGATTTGTACAATGTAGGGTTTCTTACCCTTAGACATAGGCGACATCATGTGCAGATGAACACTAGCCCCTCCAGCACTCTCTCCAGAAATAGTGACTTTCTTTGGGTCTCCTCCAAAATTCGATATGTTTCGTTGAATCCATCTCAGAGCAGCAACTTGATCTTTCAGACCCATATTACCCTGTCCATCCCCTGGTTCATCCACACATAAAAAACCTAGACCAAAGAAAATCATGCATTGTGGCAGCAATGAAATATAAATTTAAGAAGCCAAGTTCATCTTCATCTTACCAAACACACTCAGTCGGTAGTTAATGGTGACTAAAAGAACACGTTCTTTTACTATGAAGTCAGGTCCAGTCATGTCTGTATTTCCACTACCTGTTGTAAAGCCGCCACCATGCAGTCTTACCATCACAGGCAAATTGGAAGAGCCCCAAAATGGAAGCTAGGGACAGTAAAATTTATTTCACATTTATTACTCATGCATACATGAAAATATTAAGAATAATAGATCTCACCTGTGGGGTGTAGACGTTCAAATACAAACAGTCTTCACTGCCTTGTAAGTTCCGTAAGTACATATGATGTTGAATACACACATCTCTCTCTTGACAACAGTCTTTTACTTCTGTCCACGACTCAACAGGCTCTGGGGGCTAAAATAAACAAACCATTCAGGTCTGCACTCTTGACTTTACAATATTAAAACAAAGATTTTTGTACTCACTTTGAACCGCAATTCACCTATTGGTGGACGAGCATAAGGAATTCCTTGAAAACTGAAATATTTTATGTTGGATTCTGGAGATTTCACTTCATGGCCACAGATGGGGCCAGAATCCGTCTTAACTTGTGGTCGCGGCTTCATGCTGAAATGGTTAAAAGTAAGCATTTTATCTTGAAACAGGGTTTAAATCAACACAAAGAAATTCACTGTCCAAAGCACATAACAGTCACCAACATTTCACGGAAGTAATCCATTTACAAATATGAAATGACTTAAAATCTAGATTTTACAGCAGCTTGGGTCTTCAAAATTTACAACGTATCAAAAGGACCAAAGACAGCAAACCAGTAGAAACGTCATAGACTGGTGGTCAAACCACAAGAAGCTAGCAGGGAATGTAGCGCTTCTTATCTGCAGTGGTTTTATAAGTGGTCAGAGTGCATAGGACGGCAAGAGAGATTACCTTGTCTGATCAGGCGCATCAGGTGAAAGACCCAAAGAGGATGGATACTGGTAGAGATAGCCTGAGATAGCCTCTACACTGACACATTCACCCTTCTTGAGACAGAGCTTGTGTCTAGACAGACGGTGATATGGAGCCTCTCTATCGCAAGCGAACGGCCTGTGGTACAAAGGAACGTTTGAGCGACAAAAACCGAATTAGACAGACAGTATAACTTGGAGAAAAACAAACAGTGCTCCTCCCTACTGTACCTGGCGTTTGGCGCGGCGCTGTGACACGACGCGACATCGCGCGGACCGAGTTGCCAGCCGTGACCTTTGCGCCTACATAATGCACGAAGAAATATGCAGCAGCTAGTCGGTACTGTTTTTGTTGCAGAGCAACAGCTGTCTCACAGCTGCCCTGCTTTACCGCTACTGTGCCGCTATGTGCCGCTGTGCGTAGTGCGCGATCTCTCATATCCAATCCTGCCCATTGCGTATGAAAAAGTTTCAAAGGCTCACCAGCTTTAACAATGACAATGTACGACACATATAAAAATTCATCATGGAATATTATGAAGTAGCAACTTTGGTCACTACAGGGTTCTGCACGAACCCACAACTGAAAAGTCTTTACTACTTCGTTTCAAATTGGGTGGAACCCAGATTAAAATTTTAACGATCGAATGAGGCCATGGTGCTCAAGAGCAGGAGGTAGAGACAAATGAAGCGCCGGAATGAATGGAATGAATGGGCCGGCGATACTCCGCGTCGGATCGGATGCGCGATACCCCGCGACTGCAGGTTTGCAGATACCCCGCGCATCGCCGGGACGGGACGGGACGGGATGCGAGCACCCTCCGCCGGAGGGCGCTGCCTGCCCCGTTCGCGGGGGTGCTGGGGCTGGGGTTGTTGGCAGAGCGGCAGCAAGCGGCAGACCCTGCACCGCCACCTGTCCCTGCAGTCCTGCAACCCCTGTCCCTGTCCCCGTCGTCTGCGTCAAGTGGCGCGAGGCGCGGCGGCAAGGTGTGTGAGGAGGAAGACGAGGAGGACGAGTCGAATCACTGTCACCCCGCGGAGCACCGTCGCCATGCCGCCGCGATGCCGCCTCGATGCCACCGCGGCGGGCAGATCTCTTTCTTACGGATGCGGAATTGTTTCCTCTGGGCGAGGCGGGGCGAGGCGGGGCGGGGCGGGGTGCTCCTGAGGTAAATGTTCCCCCTGCGTGATATCCACGGGGGCGCGGCGCGGCGACACGGATTTCCATTTCGAGCCCCACAGCCTCACATCCCCGCGAAGCACATGAAGCGCACCCGGTCCTTGATGCGCGCATCAACCTGCCGAATCAAGCCGTTTGGCGCGGCCCCCGCGGCCCCCGCGGCCCCAGTGCACGCCAGCACGACAGCGCGCCCTGGGCGGGGCGCGGGGGCCCACCTGAACACCAGCCTCCACAAAGGGGAGGGGAACAGAAAGTTGAGGAAACGACGGCGTGGTGCTTGCAGGCTGATTCCGAAGGGGTCTCTCTCTCGCTCTCATGGGGACGTCCCGCATAGGTGTGAGAGAGACAGACCGACGAGACCTCCCACTCGGAATCAGGTTGGTGGTGTGCTATGTACTATTCCCTCTTACGCCGTGGAGCACTTTTTGCAGCGTGGACAGGTTGGACAGCCCGCCGGGCCGACTCGACCCGAGCTCGGCTGTACACCTAGTCCCTATGCAGTGCCCTGCGGTTGAAGTACACGAGCCTGGAGAGAAGTTCCACGTCCTAATCAGCGAGCGCACGGGCCACGTCGAGGAGGCCGTCGTGAGGCCGAAGAGCGCCGAAGAGTTCCAGGAGGGCTAGGGGCAGGGGCCAGCTCTAGGGCCAGCAAGGGCCAGTGGCCATGCCGGATGCAGGGGATGGAAATCGGCGAAATGCGGTTCAAGAGGTGGCGAGGCGAATGAACGGCGGAACGAAGAAATGACGAATAACGAGTCGACTCATTCCTGTCCCCTGGTTTCCCCGACCCCAATCAAAGTTGCTCGCTTGCGCCTGCCTCCCTGCCGCCCTGCCTGCCTCCCTGCGCCTTTCCCGGCCACAACCGCCGCAACCGCCGCCGCAGCAGCGGCCCCTCTCATCGGGCGCTGCGCGTCGCACAATTTATTCCGTTGTGTACATTTCCAAGAGTTTCGCCGCGTCCGCGTGACGAGCGCCTGCCGCTCTGCCCGGCCTTTACCCTCCGCCCTGCCGGGGCCCTGCCGCGGCCCTGCCGGGGCCCTGCGCCCTGGGGCGTTGTTATTTCCCCGAGTATTTAGAGCTTTCTTTGTGGCGCCCCGCCGCCCCGCCCCGCACCCCGTCGCGACGTCTCCGTCGCCGCGCTCTTCGCTCCGCCCGAGTGATTTTTCACGGCGATGGTGGCGTGGCGTGGCGGGGCGTGGCGGGGCGTGGAGGCGGAATGCGGGCCGCAGTGCCGCGGGGCGGCGAGGAACGGGGGGAAGCAAGAACACGGCAATGCTATTGGGACTTTGGGACGGCCTCGCCGCGGTCTCGACAGTGGCTTCTTTGTTGGGAGTCCTCCGCGAACACCGAAGGCGCCGGCCCCGCCTCGCGCACGTACGCTGCAATTAGCACCTCGCCGACGGTCCCAACGCCGCGCGCTGCGTGTTAGCACTGCGGCGTGGCTGGTGACGTGGCTGGCGAAGTGGCTGGCGGCGTGGCTGGCGTCGTGGCTGGCGTCGTGGCTGACTGGCGACGTGGCCCCATGGAGTTGGGGCTGCAGCAGGCAGGCAGGCAGGCTGCCGGCTGGAGGAGCAGTATAAGGGGGCCTCCTTAAAAGTGAGAACGTGATCTGATTGAGATGTAAGTCACGACGCCTCGGTTCTCCGCCCGGCTCGGTGCGCCCCTGGGCCGAGGCCTCCCCCCCTCCCCCCTCCACCATTCCGAAACGTATGCATCCCGCCGCACACGGTCTCAAAAATTATTGAGCGGCGTGGGCACGGTGGGCACGGCGTTGGACGCTGCCTCCCTTGCGCCTGCTTGTGCCCCCCCCCCTTTCTCGTTGCCGCCAAGGCCCACCGCGTTGCACGGCAAGCCGACACACACGCCCACTGTGCAAGGGGCTGTTCCGTTGCTGTGTTTCCGCTTTCACGGCCAGTGAGTCCTCTCCGCCTTGTGTGCCCGGCTGCTATCGTTTGACAATTACCAATCGCCCGCCTCACCCCCACACGCACACGCCGGCACACACACTCACACACGGGGACGCGGTCCCGCCGGCGCCCCTGCTGAGTCAGGGGGACTGGGGGCTTAGGCCGGCGCTCCTCAGTTCGAGTGGCTGCTCCCCAATACAGCAATACGGCGATACGGCGCACCGAGCGCTGTCTCATTCATTTACTTTTGCCGACCAATCAGGAGATGAAATAAACCAATTTTCGGACAATCGGGCCGGGAGCAGCTCGCCATTCGCCATTGTCCGGGCGGCGCTGCGACGGTGCGACCACTGCGGCCCCTGCGGCCGCCGAGGAGGGGCCCGCCCCGCCCCGCCCCGCCGCGACGCGCCGTGCCCCACGCCCCGGCAGGACAAACGCGGCGCTGAGTGGCGGCGCGAGGCTGAGCGTGCAGCCTGGCCGCGGCTCTGGAGGAGGCTCTGGAGGAGGCTCTGGAGGAGACTCTGGAGGAGACTCTGGAGGAGGCTCTGGAGGAGGCTCTGGAGGAGACTCTGGAGGAGACTCTGGAGGAGACTCTGGAGGAGACTCTGGAGGAGACTCTGGAGGAGACTCTGGAGGAGACTCTGGAGGAGACTCTGGAGAAGACTCTGGAGGAGACTCTGGAGGAGACTCTGGAGGAGGCCCCGCCGGCCCAGCCCCCGATTGTACTGACGGCCGGACCGCTAATTCCGATTAGGAGCGGCCGGCGTTGCTCGCGTTGCTCACTTCGACTTCGGTGCGCTCCGGCGGCCACTGTCTGCCGTAATAAGGGAAGTAGTCCTGGCATCGCGGTTCAACGTCCAGGCGGCGCCGCGGCCTGGGGGAAAAGGGGGGGGGGGTCACGTACCGTTAAATATTAAAGCCCCCGGCTCAAGTTGGCTCTCGGCGGGGGCGGAGCGGGTGGAGCGCGGGCGGAGAGGAGAGGCCGTCACCGAAGCCAGGCCGAGCCAGGCGAACCGAGGAAGGGCGAGGTCCGCGGCGGCTGCTCGGCGCCGAGTCTTTAGCTGCCAAAACCAAAAAATGACATCGTTAGGGAAGCCGTTTCGTCCCCGGATTCCTCCCCGCCCCGTCCACCCACCGCGCCCTGCCGCCCTGCCGCCCTGGCCGCCTTGGAGCAATGAGGCGGCACCGTGTTGCCAACTTCGGCGCCGCCGCGCCACCGCGCCACCGTCGTGCCCGTCAAGGCGCTGTGGAGCGCCGCCGACGCCGCGACGCCGCGTCCATCCAGACATTTAATTACGGTCCAACCCCTCGGAAAGGGAAAAGAGAAAAAAAGGGAAAAAAGAGGGTTCCTCGAGTTGTCCGGTAATTCCCGTTTCCGGCGAGTTAGCCGGTGGGATTAGCGCGGCCGAGTGGCATTGACTCATAGGTGTGGATTACGCCGCACCGCCCCGGCCCGGCCCGCACTGCGCAGCGCTCCCCGTGTTTTGTCCGGCCGCGGCCGAATCCGATAAGGCTGCAGGCGGGGTGCAGCCCGATGCCGGAGGGTCATTTCCTGGGCCTGGCCGGCCTGCACGGCCTGGACACTGGGGTGGACGTTGGTCACTTGTGATGGCCGCGGCCGCAGCCGCCGCAGGCCGAGTCTCGGCGGCCTCGTCGCCGCAGGCCGAGCCGCAGGCCCATTATACGCGCGTTGTTCCACACGGGGATTACACGGCGAGGGGAGAAGCCGACGACGCCGACGACGCCGCACCTCGGCCCACATCTTTTTTTTTTTTCGCCACCCCACCTCCGTGGCGGCGCAGCGCGGCCGAGCGGCCGACCGCACGCAGGCCGCCGGCGTCC